TTTACAATTTTATTGTGGTAACACTCAAAAAAGACAAGATAAGTACTTGCATTTCCTAGAAATTCCCCACACACCAGACTTCCCTCCGTAACCCTTGAACTGTCATATTTCTGTGTTTTTACCATGCTGACATGTGTGATGCCAGATCATTTTATGTGGGCATATAATAAAATATCCTTCTATTTCAGATTACATTGAAGGCCCACCATGATTTGTTATCCCTTTCTTGAGTGTTTATCCTTCAATAAAGTCACCACATGATATATCTGGACCGAAAGTTTAGAGTAATTTTTCAGAGCAAATTATTTGGAACAGGGTGGCTGGGAACAACTACATTTACCTGTGTTAGAATTTGACCAGCATGCTCTGACAAAGACTACTATTTAAAAATGTGTTAGTCAGTGCTCAATTTATACTTCCCATACCTTCAAATATATTAAACATACGGATACTACTCTGTCAAAAAACCCATAAAACCCAAACAAACAGAACCATGCCCCAGCAAATTAAAAACTTCAACACGTACAAGAACTGCTCCATGTGTCCAGCCAAAAGAAACAAAAGCACGAGGTCAGTCTGAAAATCCTGTGTGCTCCTTCTGCTTAACTTCTAGCTTGAGCCCTGGCACAGTTTAGGATACAGCCAGCACGCGGGACCATTGCCCCAGCAGTGGGGATCGCCTACCCTTCACCCTCCCGGGTTGGCCAGGGACACCTCAGCAGGTGGGACACCTGCAGACACTCCACACCCCAGCGCATGTGGAACTACACTGACTTTCACGTTGTAAAACGCACTCTGACGGGCTGGCATGCAGCCTTTGAAGGGCTTGGAACTGGAAAAAAGAAAATCAAACTTACACAAAAAATAACCTAAATGAAAAGCAACAAAGCTGTGATCCAGGGGCAACAACGCTGGAGGTGCCTTTTGCCCCTGCTGGAGGCTCCACACTGAGGCTGTGGCCGAGGATGTGTTTATATATTTGTATTTGTGTATATACATGTGTATATATATATATGTGTGTGTGTGTGTGTGCCCGTATGTGTGTATATATAGATGCGTACGTATATATATATATGTATATATATATACATGTGTGCATATAGATATGTGTGTATATATATGTACACATATATACGTATAAATGTGTGTCTGTATGTGTTTATGTATATGTGTATACACACGTATATATACATATATTACACATACCTATATGTGCAGACATTTATATGCATATATTTGATGGGTGTATATATACATACAGAAACTCTTTTTAAAAAATTGTATTTAATTTCATAATTTACTTGCAGACTTCAGAGCTGAAGTAACGGCGGCTGCAGGAGCCCCCCGCGGGCCCGCGGCGCTTTCCCCGACCCGCAGTGCCCCCGCCGGCCGCCCGGCGCCGGGACACCCGCGCGGGTTTGCCGAGCGCCGGGGGCCGCCACCCGCCCGCCCCGCCGCCGCTGCCCGCGGCCCCGGCTCCCCGCGGCCGCGCCTCTCCCGGAACCGCGCGCCCGCCCCGCCGCGGCACCGGGCTCCCGATAAAAAAACCGCAGTTACCAGGAGTGGGGTTCGAACCCACGCGGACATGCGTCCATTGGATCTTAAGTCCAACGCCTTAACCACTCGGCCATCCTGGTGCAGATACCGGGGACCGCTCGCAGCCGCTCCTACATTCATGGCCGCGCTCCCAACCGCCCCCCGGCCCGCCCGCGACCCTCGGGGGTGCCCCCTCACCCCCGCCCCCGCCGGCCGCCGCTCCCTCCCTCCCGCCTTTATTCCCAGCGCGGCGGGCGCCGAGCGGCGCGCGCGGGCGGCCTCTCCCGGCGGCGGGAGGCGGGCGGGCAAGGCCCGGCGGGGAGCGCCGCCACGGACCGACACCGAGCCGGGCCGAGCCGCACCGAGCCGGGCCGGCCGGGCCTGCTGCCGCCGCCTTCCCGCCGCCGGGCGCCGGGCCCGCAGCGGAAGGGGGAGGCGGGGGAGGTGCGCGGCGCGGGTACGGGCCCGCCCCTGAGGGAGAGCAGGGCGGGCGGCGCCGGGCCGGGGGCTGCGGGAGTGAGGGCTCTGGGCAGTGCGGGGGCTGCGGGCAGTGCGGGCTCTGGGCAGTGCGGGGGCTGCGGGCAGTGCGGGGGCTGCGGGCAGTGCGGGCTCTGGGCAGTGCGGGGGCTGCGGGCAGTGCGGGCTCATCCCCCCCGGAGCGGGCAGGGCCGTGGTTCCGGGCATGAGAGGCAGTAGGGTGGTTGTGCCGACACGGCACCGGTACTTTATTATTTCCGCCCAAGTCTTTCCTGGAATGTATCTTCTCTCGCTCGTAGAAGGAGAACCAAAAGTAATAAAGTCCAAAGCCATCAATTACGCGTAATTAGGCGGAAAATTGTCGCAGGGGAAAGATTTTTTTGCCGGTCGCCACTCTATGCCGTGTCTACGGAAGCACCTATCGCATATTCCTGGTTGCTGCCTGCCCTGGGACCTCCCCCTTCTCCCTTCATCAGAGGGGAAATGGGTAAGAGTCACTTCGCTGCCTTCACCGTGGCACTAGCTCCCACTCGCTGTTATTTTCCAGCGGAGGAAATGGACATCCTGCATGGCACCAAACCTGAGCATCTCTGAGGTGTGAGAAACATACTCCACGCAGCACAGGCTGAGGACACAGGCCCGTGGCAGCCTCCGGCACACGAGGAGGCGGCGGCGGCCGTCTGCTGTCCCACCAGCAGAACAGGAGCACATTCCGTGCTCGGGAGCCGGACACTCTGCCTGGCCCTGCCCCTCTGCAAGGGGTCCGGGGCTGGAATTTGCAGGTGCAGGTGGTGCCTGACCTCCTCAGCTCTTAGTGCTCAGAGACACTAGGCGTGCTTCTGAGGGAAAATAACATGTGCGGTCTCACGTACCGTACATGTTACTCACCCGCGGGAGCTCATCAATAAAAGAACAGCTCTTCCAATGGAACTTGCCGTGCCGTATCATTGCCTTGAAATGACTGGCATGCCATAGTTCTCTGTTCAGTAAGGTTGTGCCTTTCAGCAAAGTACTGAGTAGAAAAACAGGTTTTTTACTTTTCTGTTCACATCTAACACCATTTCTGAGAAACACAGTAAAATGTTACTTTTTCTTGTTCAGACTTGGTACCCTACACCCTTACCTTGCACTCTGTGTGTGCACGGTAAGAATGGTGAAGCTCTCTTCTGCTGGCTCTTACTTGCTTTGGCTCAACCATAATGAAGACACTACATAATACACTAAAAACGTGGAATATGGATCTGCTGTTGCCTTGTTACATATTAGAGAAACAAACACTACGGCTCCATGTGAAAATACCATTGCATTTGAAATTTATTAACCAGAATCACCACATAAACTATCTATTAAATTACAGTTTCCTGCCTTCATTATGTCTGTGATACTTTCTAGAGATAGAACCACAACCCCATGTAGCTTTTTCCTTTTTCAAATAAATTTCAAATAGCTACCATAGTTCAAAAATCTAGAGAATATATTTTGTTTTAAAGAAATAATAAAAATACAGCTTGGGTTGTGCATTCAAAACATCCTTAATGCAGGTAAGATTGGAAAAGCAGCAGTTTAGCAGAGCTACTCAGCTGAGCTTCCAGAAAAAAAAAAAAAAATGGATCTTAAGAGCTATCCTTTTACTTCAAAAAATTTCTCTCAAGACATGTGCCAGAGATACCTGCTCATGTGGGCAAGTGTGTCCACAGTTTGGTCCTTCATTTTGAGGAAGCAATTGTCCCATTGCCATTTCTGTAAAATGAAACCCATGATTAAAAAAAAAAGTCCCTCTAGATGTAATTCAAACCCATATGCATAGTCATTACATACTAAACATTATATTTTGTAATAGGGGAATTTTTTGTCTCTTATATGTATGCCGTGCTGTCTTTCATTTTTTAGAAGGAGCAAAGTGCCCCTGGTTGCCAGTTCTTTACCCTCCTCAGAAAGGACTGGTTGGTGGCTGGTTGGTGGTGTGGGTTGTGAAAATTCAGCTTCATTAGGAAACGAAACTAAAAAACAGCAATCCTAAAAGCTAAAATATCCCCTCTCAGATTTTAACTTCTTCACCCCTCAAACCCTGTTTAGTGTTTGCTATATGAGGGAAGAGGGGGGAAAAAAGCCCTACTAACCTATAGAATATGCTACACATATCTGCATAGGAGTTGTGATGATTTTCAGAAGGAAAAGGCAGCTTTCCACAGAAGATGTCCATTCTGCAGCTTCTGTTATTAGTATGCTAACAAATTATCAAGCAACTTTTATCATCATCTTCCACTCATCCGGCGTGGCATGAGTCCTTGCAGCTACAGTGTGATCAGGTTTTTTTTCTTCCAAAAGTCTGTTCAACTGCGATTAGGCAAGTTCATGGGCTGGCTAAATTTGAGTTCTTACACAACTGAAGGGTAGAAAAAACCCCCAAAATATTAAGCAATGGATGTATTTGCAAGAAGAGAATGATAGAATGATTGCTTCAGTTACTGGAAGTAATTTCTAAGTGTCTCTGAACTCACAGTGTATCTTAAAAATAGTTTTAAAAGGTCTCAGGCTGGTTTTTGACTAATTATCTTTTTGTTTCCCTACAGCAATAGCACTAAGTCAGGAGAGAAAGTCTACCATTACCTTTTCTTTCCCTGTGCTCCAAATCAAACTAAAGATTTGAATACTAGTTTTACGTATCTACTAGTGAAATCATCAAGGTCTCTCAGAACAGCCAGAATAAATTTGATTATTTTTTAACTAGAGAATCATCTTAGAATGCATGAAACTCATTTTTCTTGAGTGTTTTAGAGAAAAAACAATAGTAAGTCTATCTCAATATGCAACACATTTCATTTACCATGGCAACAAATATTAGGAGGACTATTTTTTCTAGGCCCTGTTTATTCTCCTTTTACCAACTCATAATTTAGTCCAGCAACTTTTAAACTAAACTTTGACAACATAAAACACTATTCAGAGCTGCAGATTCAATGTACGACACTCTGCACTTTCAGTTTTTCTTATTAAATATTTTATTCAATTTGTAGATGCAAAAAAGGAACCAGCACAAAAAAAAAAGTACATATTTTTATCAAAAACATTGGTAAGTGCTAGGAATATGCATGTGAAAGGAAATACAGTATTTAATTCTTCATTGATTTATCCCCACATGCTGACTCTCAGAGGTTTAGGGTATTTCCCTACAAATGCACAGTTCCACTGACTTAATGGCAGTACCTACAGAGTAAACAACCTTGTCTCCTTGAGTAGCACCAAAGCCAGTGGCTGTGGTCCCAGCTCATCACCCTCCTTTCTCCCATTTCAAGTTTGAACAACTCGCTGGAGGCATCTCAGACAAGCATAACACTGATATTACCAAATACACTACTGAATATCAAAATATCTTAAAGTTTAGGAGATCAGTGTTCCTCACTCTTCCATGTTATCAGAGACAGGTGCTACAGCAAAAGGGACACTCAATTTCTGAGAAGAGTTATCCCTTCAGTTTCTATTTGTGTAAAAAAGCCTGTCTGGCTAAAATTGTTTTCCAGTAAGATATAAAAACTTGGAGGTTGGCTTTATTTTAAAGTTGGATTTGTTTTGTTATATTAATACAAATAGTAAGAAATGTCTGGGTTTGGGTTTTTTTTCACACATAAAATCAAGGTGAAAAAGGTAAGAAGGGAAAAGCTTCACTGCAACCGGTGCAGGAAGATGTACATCTATGCACATTTGGGGAAAACTCACAAATACAAAACATTTGAAATGTTGAAATATATTTATTAAAATTGGTACAAATAGGACCATCAGTTAAAAAAAATAATTTCTGAAAAAATGTCCTGCATTATTTCAAAGGATATCAATAGATCACAGTGTAGGAAGCCACCTAGAAATACAGTTGGCAAACTTCCAGAAGCAGGAGCTGTGATCAAGCACCAGCCTTTGTGAATATGTTCCACTAACAATGCTCAGTGCTTACCAGGACTGCACATTTTTTATTTCCTTGCAATACTCCAAACCCACTGGTTTGCCCTTGTGTAAGGGCAGAGTCCAACAAAAGGAGAGTTTCCTTTTAAGCGTGAAAAGAGCACTGAAATGGCATGAAACTGTTTTCTTTCTTCTTCAGATGTACTGAAGAAATAGTTCTGTTTGCTTTCCCAGGTGGAGATTTCCCAACAATTGGAGAAAGTAAAAATCTTTGTACACAAGTAAAATTGCATATAAAAAAAATTATTCCTTCATCTTATTTAAAATAGATATAAAAAAATCTATATTTGGTCAATGCTTATAAAAAATAAAAGTGTACTGATAGGCACTAAAACTGCCTCTATGTATGTGCCAGTACAGGAGATCCTAAAATGTTTTCTCAACCCCATAACTGTTGTCCTCTTATATGTGTTTCTGCAGAAGGCCACTCCATGTTTCTCCTCTGGCTGAAGTGTTAATTGGCAGAAAAATGCATCAGAACATGAAAGCATAGCAGGTTTGAAACTGAGAGTCCAGAGAGTGGCTCAAGTTAAAAGTGAGTGAGATGCCTCAGTGTTGCAGTGCTTTTAGCCACCTTGAGAGAGTTGGGTACTCAAAATGGAAAACAAAGCAGTCATTTGCACACAAATAGAGCAAAATGTGGGTACTATCATTTAAGGTGCTGCTGCTTCTGTTAAGATTACTGACAGTTGAAAATCAAGTTCCTGCTCCTGCTCAGTATTTTGTCAAATTTGTATCAAGCAGCCTCCAAACTAAAACCTCCTGATTCTGTGGTGTGCTGTGTTGCCCCAGGCAACAAGGCTTCAGCACCTGCAGCCTCACTTCAACAAATAAGAATAAAGTTACTTTTTGAAAGTATTCATCTTCCCTGCGATAAGTTATTCATACTTCTTTCTTGCCTATATGAAATGAGCATCATTGTAAAGATATTGCACCTCTAGTTACAGTAACAGAACCTTTCAATTAAAATTAGATTAAAAATAGTTTTATCAACATTTCTAGGAGTTCATAAATAGAAACAGTGTTCAGCACATTTAGTAAAAAGACAATGAACAAAACCAACTGCAAAATACCCCCCTATTTCTAGGGCTTGTCATTACAGAACAGTCTCTGGAAAGAACACCTGATTTTGAAGACATTCGAGTCAGTCCATGATAGCTCCAGTAGGACCATCACCTTCTGCAACATGATATGCAGCAGCAGAGTATTGTTCTGAGGGGATGTTTTCTCCTGTATTCCAAAGCTCTTTTCACTTGGTCTTTAGCATCTTCTACATAGTCCTCAACATTTTGCATATTTATCTCAATAACATCAAAGGTGTCTGCCTGTTCCTCCACTAGGAGGGCCACCTGCAGAAAGAGCTCGTGAACTTCTTTAATGCGACCTTCTAGCTTCACCAGCTCCTTGTGCCGCGTCTCTATCTCATTCAAGGCTGCACGAGCTCCCTTAACATCTGACAAGAGATTCTCGGAGAAGACATCCCATTTGCCTTGCTCAATCATCTCCTCAATCTGGTGGCCAGAAACCTCTTTGCCCATGATCTCCAGCTGACGCTGAATTCGAATCTTGCAGTTCTCCCGCTGGTTCATCTCTGTTGCATTGTAATCAAACATAGCGTCCTGAAATGTGTGCATGAGGTCAACGTAGTGGTTCTTCGCCACCCTGGCAATGATAGACATAGCTCCGTATTTTGTTATTGCATCTTCACAGAAATCTCTCATTATCTGCAGTTTCCTGTGAATGCTTTCTCCACGGCTCTTAATGTCTCTGGCAATACAATTAGTATCTCGCTTGATGCTACTAAGACGGCGCATGGAAGTAAGGAAGCGGGTATTTTGCTTTCTGAGGCGGTTGACATCTGCTTTTAGGTGGTCATTTTCTGTCCGGATGGTCTGTATGTCCTTATGAAGGATTTCCAAGGCATAGTCCGTCTCATAAAGGAGAATATCCTGGGGTGAATTTTCATCATCATCACTATCAGAAAACTGTTGGTTATGCAACCTGGCAAATTCACGCAGCTCACTCAAACGATCTTTCATCCTGCCTGTAAAATGGGAACAGGAGGAATAAGTTTGAAGTAACTAAAATATTGGTTAAAAGACTTGAAAATCTGTAACTAATAGCTACATCATAGTGATAACTAAATCACAGATAACAAACAGTTATCAAAGATAACCCAAAATACCAGATTTTAAATTTGTTCACAGTATTTTATACAGTGATGGATATCACATCCAAAACTCTGCTAGAACAATGTTCTAGAAAGTACAAGTTTAGAAACAAAACTGAAGGAAAAAAATACTACAAATCCTGAAGCCAAGTCAACAAGAATAGTAGGACAGTCCCAAACTCCCCACAGAATGCCAGTCTTTTACTTGGAGGGGAAAACTATACTCCTGATATAAATCTTCAGCTATCACCATCTGTAGACATGTTAATAACTGAACACCTTCCACTACTGCTCACTAGAGAAATCTCCTCTAGATCCTGATCCCTCATTACATCGACTGCCCAAAATGTCACAGGGCTTCCCTTATTCTAAGATTACTTTTCCTGGAAGAATACTAAGAAGCCTCTCAGAAACAGAAATGGCATTTACCAATACAGTTGGGAAAGAAAAGTTTCAAAACAATGATGTGGAAAGTATCAGGATAGGGAAAAAAAAAAGATAGAAAAAGGAAAAAAGAAAAAAGGGGGAAAAAGCAACTTTAGTGTGTCCAGATGCTATCATTGACCATAGAGTACCAGACATCAACAATTAGGTGTGTGGAGCATTTCTCTTATGAGGATAAACTGTGGGAGATGGGCCTATTTAGTCTAGAGAAGAGAAGACTGAGAGGATCTGAGCACACATACATATGTCAAAGGCAGGTGCCAGGAGGATGGTGCCAGACGCTTTTCAGTGGCACCCAGCAACATGACAAAGAAAAATGCCCATAAACTAAAACACAAGAAGTGTAATCTCAACATGAGGAAGAACTTCTCTACATTGAGGATGGCAGAGGCTGTCCAGGGAGGTCGTGGAGTCTTCCTCTCTGGAGGCACTCAAAACCCACTGGACACATTCTTGTGTCACCTGATTTATGTGACCCTGTCTTGGCAGGGGATTTGGATTAAATGATCTCCAAGGTCCCTTTCAACCCTAACAATTTTGTGATTCTGTAAACTTTGTGCTTACCATGCCTTAAACTTAATAAAAATTAAATATCATCAGGCTTCTACAGAGAGCATAGTAACAACTGGCTCAAAAACAATTTCGCCTTCTGTTTGTGTTTTCTCTGTCAAGCAAACACTGAGTAAATCTCCTGTGGAATAAATTTGTAATTTTGAAAGAGTAGACCTACCCTTCCTTCCCCAGGAAGAAATGGAGAAGCAAACACATAGTAATTCACAACATGAAAATGCTGTAGTAAATTCATGTATATACTAATTCTGCAGCATCCCTAAAAATATTGCTTTTTTATTTATTTTAATACAACAGGAAAGGTTAAAAAGTCAAACATTAAAAGAAGAATAGGTAGCTGTGAAGTGTTGCCTTGAATTACACCACAATGTTGCCTGGACACAGGAAGATCGCACAATTAAACACTGGCCTGTGCACTATCACTTCCACCAAGTCTCTGGCAAGAGTCTGTATGTGCTGAATAAAAGTTGTACAACATAAAATTTAATATTCATCATTCAGTTCATGCTACTGCATTGACTGTGTTGCTACTGTTCATTTCCTCAGGGATTTCCCCTGCAAAATTTTTGGAAAGTTCCACAAACTCCTACCAGTTGTTTGGGGAAAGGCAGATCTAACAGCCCCACAGTTAGGTTTCAGCCCAGAGTTACTAAAGACAATAGTGTCAGACTCTTGATAATTTACAATGCCCACTTGAGACACTTCAAGCCCAATTCTTTGTACCTGGAATCTTCAGAAGTCAGCCCCTTCTGACTGCAGTCACTGCTGCAAGCCTCGAGCACTTTGCTGAGTAAGATCGTGAAGGAACCAGCTGGACATCAGGGAATGAACACATGGATCAAGGCCACTTGTGAAGAGCTCCTCTCCAGTGACATGGACAGCATCACACACGATCTCTGTGATCCAGCAGATTCAGTAGATCTAGTTATAAGTGGAACAGAGGGATCAAGTTGCAGTTGCACTTACAGTCTTCATCCTGGGTTTTCCCTGCTCCCCAGTACTTAGTTCTAAATTATTAGTATCTATGTACCAAAACTTATGTTTAAGGTGGTCAACATTAGCATCCTTTAGCTCTGCATTGCTCTGTACCTGTCTGGGATATGTCTCCACAACTAAAGTGTTCACACTTTTGTCCTAACAAATGGATGCCATCTATTTAAGCCTGACTTCAGAGTCCTGCAAAATCAGGCACTTTTTGGCACTTTCTTTAATTCTCCCCAAGTCCTGTCTTTTACTCTTTGTTTCCAAAGTGCATCACCTAGCCAGCTTCCTACTTCATCTTCACATTTTCAACATGCTCTTCTTTATCTAGGAAGGACAGGATGTGAATAACTTTTAACAGAGGTCTTTTCCTATTTCAAATTCTCATTTCAAACAAAGGGGAACCAGATCTTCCCAAGAGAGGACAATAACTTTCAAGCTTTCCTTGGATGGTGTCAGGGACAGAACTGACACTAAAGAGCTGAAATAAATAAGCAGGGAGCACAAGGGGGAACAGCAATTTGAAACATTTCAACTTAACAAATCATGGTTTACAAAAGTTGGCCTCCCCTGTCAGATGCTGTGGTTACTCAGCAAAGTTTGCATCTACACATACGTTGATTGTATTGCTTGTCATTTGAACAGCAATATATTAACACATGATACATGTCTGGCTGTTAGGGATAGCCTCAGACCTCAGTCTGTAAAGTGAGCATCAGTCTCTCCCTTCATACAGTGCCTGGTGCAGCAGTAAAAGTTGGGTTCTCTGATGGGAAAGCAGCTCTGCAGGACCTCGGTGTGTTGGTAGGGGAACATGAGCCATGCATCCAGGCTGGAGCAGCAAAAGTGAGGAAGGAAAGGGACACAATCCCTCCTGTCTGACATTTGAGAGACCCCATCTGGAGTGTCACTCAACACAGACACACTGGGATGAGCCACAGGGAGGCCACAGAGGTGGTCAGAGGTGCTGGAGCACCTGACATATGAAGAGAAGCTGAGAGAGTTGGGAATGTTCAGCCTGAGAAACAGGAAACTTAAGGGAGATCTTGTTGCCATCACTAACTGCTTAATGCAAGGCATTTTCCCTCCATGGAAATGGACAGCAATAGCACAGCATGCAACAGACCTAAGTGGAAACAAGAGAAAGTCAGCCAGATACAAGACGAGGGGAAAGGAAAAAAAGAAGAAAACCCCAAACACTTAGAAACAATAAAAAGGTGTCCAGAAAAGTTTTGGAATCAGCACCCTTGAAGATATTTAAAACTCTACTTGACATAGCCCTCACAAACCTAACTGTGTGCATTTTGAGCAGGCCTGGATTAGACAATGTCCAAAGGTCCCATCTAAATTGCTCTGGTAATCAGCCTTAAATAAAAATTATTTATAATTAAATATATTCAACTACTTTCACAAGTAAGAGACATCTAACACACTAAAATATCAAAACAACAACTACTCTGGAGTAACAACCACAAGAGTATAACTACCTTAATTCTGAGAGTGTGAGATTTAATAGATTAGTTGTCAGTCTTATTTTATTTTAAAATGCTACATATATCCAAACAAGAACATTTACGTGCACATTTGTATTTTTGGGTTAGCTAACAATGTCCTTGTAAATATGAAGTTCCTTCTGCAGTCCATCAGGATGGGCACACCCAAACGCACACACAGGAAATACAGGCAGGTGATGACTGCAGAGGTTACAACTTTGAAGGCAGATATCCAGCAAGTACAGTCAGCTAAGGGCATGTTCAGTGCTCATCTTTTCATGTTACTGCACTACTTACTGGTATTAATCACCACAGTGACAAGCTTTCCCATGATGCATGAGAAATATGCAAATTGTCCTGTTGCAATAAGACTGCCTCCCCAGACAACTGTGTATAATATGGGATTTCAGACAAGAATGAAAATCCATCTAAAAATCAAAAACTATGCATGTGCATACATCCCCTTTCTGTTAGCCCCATATACATACAAAAGGGAGTCCTACAAACATTGCCTAACATTGCTATGCAAATGTTCTGAAGCCTGTTAACTATGTAGAAATAACCTAAGGATAAAAAGTTATTTCTATAACTTTTATCTCAGCTTTAACATTTGTACATCCACACTCTATCCCCATATGGGCCATTCCCTTAGATTTGGGCTCAGTGATCCTTGTGTGTTCCTTCCAGCTCAGGATAGTCTGTGATCAGAGTCCGGGAACAAAGAGTGAAATGATGAAGCAGTCTCAGCACAGCATCCATATTTCATGGCCAGCTGCTGGGAAGGAAGGCAGTGTACATTTTTTCTTCTTGCAGCATTCGTAAATGGCAGCTGTTACTTAATACCATCTTGTGGCTCACCAAGAGTCTAGTCAGTAATCTTTTCAGCCTTGAGTAGGGCTTTACAAGATGAAGTTTTTACTTCAATTGTTTGAGGAACAACAGATATTTCAAAACAAGTTAGTTAAAAAAAACTTCTGTCAGTAGTTCTTCTTGCCCTTGGAAGGCAAAAGGAAGCCACGTGGCTCATCCTAGCTCTGAATGGAATGTGATTTTTACCACATGACACACAATAGACATGACCCAAAAAACAAGTGGAGAACAATTAGGAAATAACCTGCTCTTAGACAAAATTACTTCATAGCTAAGTGTGTGTCAGCACGTTTCAGTGACTTCCCATACGGCTTGTAGAGGATGTAGTATTGATGGAAATCTACTTGGACTTGCTGAATTGAACACATTGCATTCCAAGGCAAATAGAGTGCTATCACTAAAATACAAGTCATACATAGGTAAAAAAAAAGTGTTAAATTTAGCTGAAGCCTTTTGTTTAAGAGTTGGAGTCTCAGATTTAATAATTTTCTAGTAACTATTTGTTTTGTAAACAATCATCTTAGACCAGAATTAATATTTTTGTTTGGTATCTGTTGCCTAATAATAGATTTGATAATATTAATTAACTTGTGGAAAAGACTTATTTTTTTTAACAATAGGTTTTCATCTTTCCCGGAGAGTAATTGGCTTATAGCAGAGTAGTAGTCATCTTTTCAGTCCAAATTCCCTGTCTTGCCAACCATGCCCACTAAAGGTGTCACAGCAGGTTTGAATTTTTCAAATTACTCATCTTTTTTTTTCCTCTCTTCTCTTCTGTAAGAGCCTGAAACAAAACAAAAAATAAAAATCTAATGATTAGGACAGTTTGCCTTCTCAAGCTGTGCTAAGATTACATATGTGTACCACCTCCAAAATTAACAACTACGACAGATCAGCCGTTCAAAAATCTTTTTGTGGCCTCATTGAAAGGAAGTTATCCTTTCTGAAATTTATTGGATTTCACAATGTTTAAAAATAGACAAAATGTATTCAGGAATTAAAATCCATCAGTTAACACTGAATGCCACTTAAAAAGCTACAGAAATCCATCAAGAAGTTGCAAGTATATCAGAAGACTACACTACCCAGCTCATATGCACATCAAAGCCTGTGTACAGAAGAAGACCACCTTCATACTTTCTGTCACCCTAGAGAAAAATATCTGCAGTTGCAAATGTCTCAGGATATTATTTTTCCCAAAAAATCCCTGTCTTGTGCCAGGACAAGTCATTTATTACAAACTGATATATTCAGAGAAGCAGGGATGACTCCATTCTTTGCATGGTGTTTTCTGTGGACTGGTTATCAGCTTTCCCAGATATTAGTATCAAAACTAGGAAACATTAAATGCATTAAATGCACTATAATATGCAATTTTTCATGTATTTATGATAAGACTGAGAAAAAAATCTGATGTTTTAGCTTGTTATTACTCAGTAGCCATGAGAGTAAACATTATTCTTGCACTGGAGAGATCAGCTTGTTTTACATGGGTTGACTGCTACTATTTACTAGGTTGCCTAAATTTTCAGTGGAGAGCTATGGATCACCACTGACAAATTTTCAATAGTGGAGAGATAAAATGGATTCTTGGTATCTCCTCTTGACATTTTCCTCACAAGTCACTTAAATGAGCATTTGTAACTAGATTTGGTGTTGTTTGAGTGGAGTGGGGAGCAGTGGTAACAGTGCTATAGACAAAAAATGTTTCTCCATCCTCACTGGTTTGCAGCACCAAGGTCTTTAGGCAAAATTGGCCTAGATAGACACAAGGGAGTGTGAACTGTTCCTCCAAAGGCTTGGCAAATGGTTAAGACAGATCCATACCACTTAACATAAACAGCCGTCCATACGTTTCTTGGCAATTGCTACAGCTCAGCATCATTACAGGTCACTGTGCAGGTCAATCAGCCAACACACTCACAGGCAGCGCTGGCACTACAGCACCATGAGAATATACATTATCTAACTAATCACCTCGGCCTCCCTGGAACACATTGGCTCAGCGAAATAGCTCTGTACATGCCACATGTATATAACTACTATTGTTACCACACAGTGGTATTTATAAGTGATTAAGGCATTATGTTGGTATGCAAATAGACATATGAGGTTGCATGTGATCATCAGTCAGAAGCAGCATGTTCTACTGATGTTTTTAAATCAGCACAACTGCATTATTTTTTGAAAAGCACATATATTTAAGGCTTGTTAGAAAGTGTTACAATCAGAGGCCAAGTATTCTTGACTTTAAAAAAATTCCTTTAAAGTTAAATACAGGGTGTTTTCCTGGTATTTGGTGAGGTGGGCCAGTACACATGAGGTTCAGTTTGGGATTCTAATGCAAAATCTACACAACTGTACCTGCACCAAACTAGTTCCAACCAGGAAATAACCCCTATAGCCAGCCACACATGCATACCCACAGCCTCAGCCCCAGGACATGTCAGGCTTTATGGCAGTTATGCTACTTAGCAGCTCATGGGTGTTTACAGGCCCAAAGATATAGATGTAATTAGGGACACACTTGATTGGGCATATCAAAAGCTCAAACAAGCTTTGTTCTTGCTTTTAAAAATAAATGAGTTGTCAATACCACAAAAACAACACAGAGGAAAGGCATAGCAGAATAGCTGGACCATGCAGTAATTCCTTAACTTTTGTGAGCATGAGCTTGTTGAGAATTATCTGGCAATTAATAGGTTAACTGCTATAGCAGATTAGGCAAAAGTTGCATACATGATAAGCCTTCAGAAGTCAAGATATGCGGCATCATTCTCTCACTGATAAAATTACATGTAGTTTTATCTAGATGTAAGTGCCAAGCACTGTGTGAGAGCTCTTGCTGATTGTGTAGAGTCTTGATATCTCATCTAGCCTATCAAAGCAGAGATAAAAACCAAATTGCTTTGCTCCTCTCATGTGGAACCTCCCCCACTACCCAAGAGGGCATTCCCAGGAGCCAGCCCTAGGCCACTCCCTGGGAATGATGTTCCTTACCAGAGGTGGTTCATGGCCACATCTTGGGGAATAAACCAAAATGCAAGCATAACCAAAAATGGCTTCACTGCAAAAAGTGGTAACCCCAGATTTAGAGTTCAGATGGTTTACTGAATCAAGTTAACACTGCCTTACTAATTTCTGCACCATCCTTTGTCATCCTTGAACTACAGCGATGACCAGAGGCAAAGAAAATTGATGGGCCAGATAAAAGATAATAGGAAGTGTATCTGGTCCAGCATATTTGACACAGCAGTTGTCTTCTCACCATCAGAACTGGTTTTGAACATATCAGCATTAGCATATCCGTCACACTCAAGAGATTATCCGTATTTTCCATTAGTGACTTGGAGAGTGGAACCAAACATGAGCTTGTACAGTCTCCAGGTGACACTGAACTGGAAGGGAATAGAAGCAACTGGAATAGAAGGAACTGGAAGGGGTGAGGGCAGGGGAGGAGAAATTATGAGAATTTAAGATGATCTTGACAGTAAGAAAAGAATTAACAAAAAAAAAAGGAAATTCAATATGTCAAGCCTGGCACATTTAGATAAAATTATTCACACAAATATAAAGTAGGAAACACCTAGTTTACCAGCAGGAAAGCTTTGGTGAGGTCACAGCTCACAAAACAAGTTCACAGTATAAGGTCATTGTAAAAAAAACCAAAACCCCATGTCTTACACGAGAGATGGCTTGGGAAGGACTGGTTTTACTCTGCTTGGCATAGATAAGGCCTCAGTTGGAAAAGTACTTCCTGAAACAGTTATCACATTAGGAAAGTCAAAGGGAGCATATTTGGCATTGTCTCCAAACATTTTAGAAAATACACTCCTGGAGAAAGAGGAGCTGAAGGAATTATTTTCATTTAATTCAGAGGACCAGGGAGAGAGACACAGTACTCCAACACATAAAAGGAGTTTTCTATGAAAAGAGAAATGGTCCCTGTGTTGACACTGGAAACACGCAAAGTAATCAATTTCTTTCACGAGGCCTATGTTGAACTGGCCGAGACTTGCTGAAAATTGGACCATTTCTCTGTGGAAGCATTGTGGGACCTTCTTCCTTGACAGAAAGAGAGAGGATACAGAAAGCACTCTCAGGCCTGGTTCAGGTGGACAGCTCCAGTGCACCAAATGCATAAAGCAATGTCTTACAGTCCTGCAGTGGCCCTGCATTCCCAGGATTTGTTCCATGCCCTCACCCCTAGTGTCACTGTGGGTCCAGCACAAAGTGTTTGTTCACACAGTGCTGCCTGTGCTGGGGAGAAATTCAGGTAACTCTTCACGCAGCAGATTCTCTTCCTTCTCTATTATTTCTGCACCAGTGGCAACTACCATATCTTCTTCTGAAGCAGGTCTTGGTTACTGTTAGTGTTAGTATAGTGAAAGATGTCACACACGGAGACTAATCCCATAGCACCCAAATTCTCCAGGGCTGACAGAGCATGCATTCCATAGCATCACAGTCTGTAGTGCCCAAAAGGTACTACATTTTACTAAGTTTAATGTTTTAAGAGATCTTCTGTACCATGCTTATGTTCTTCATGGAGATGTCTTTCAACAACAGAGTTTAACTTGCAGTTTGAGCCTCAGCCATAACTTGAGATAACATATGACTGAACACACAATTTCAGTTTCAGAGAAGTGGGCATAGTGCAGTCAGAGCAAAAAGCATGAGAAAAAGGTCATCAGAGGATTTGGACACCTAAACCATCCTTTCCTAATGATGATGTTTATTCTGTTCATCTGTTAGACATCTGGTCTGTTTTGAATAAAAAAAAAGTTATGGTCATCTTGTAGTCTCACCACTATTTAAATAGTGAGTATCAGCACTGGTAAGAAAGCATCATCACTCAAATTGCATTCTCATCGTAAAAAGTCATAGGTTGCCATTTTGATACCTGACAGTTTAAAAGACAGTTGCTAAAATACCCTCTAAAGAACAGGAACAAGAAGTGCAAGCGTCCATTTTTGGCCAGTGCTGTTATTCTAGTCACTTCCTTTCTCAGTATCAGTGTGACATGTAGTTATCTCAGTCATACACGAGTCCCAGTTCTTCTTGGTAGGAAGGAAATGAGTATCAATTTAATCGGAAGCAATCAAAGAATGCTAACTTTTGTACCCACTTCTAGATCTGGCCACGATGACACTCAAGAGCAAAGGAGAAGCTACTATATTCTGCATATAAACCAAATTTTCTGTAAAATCTGCTGTGGAGCTATTCATAACCGTGTATGAGCACTATGAATAAGATGTTAGTACTCGTTAAGCCGGACAAACAAGGCAGTAGAAATACAGGCATCCGTTGTGACTGGATGAGAAGATACGTATTTGAAAGTACCTCTGTTTTTCTCTCATCCGGTGAAAATCCAGCCATCCCATTTGTATTCCATGAGGACCAAAGCTAGGTACCTCCGGACCCAAAAGCCCAGTCCGCATTTCCTACCACCTCTCCTGCCTCTGGGCTTCAGACTTCACCACTCGATTCAAAAGGGGCAGTTTCGTCTCCTCTTAGGCAAAACCGAGGTGCCGAGCACGCCCCGCGGCCCCTCCGCCTCGCCGGCCGGGCCGGCTGCCGAGCACCGGGCACGCCCCGACAGCCCGGGAAGGGGCGGCCAGCCCGGGCTCCGGCGCTGCCCGGCACTCTCTTCCCTCCGGCAGCAGCTCCGAGCGCCTCGGCGTCCGAGAACTCCGGCTGATGTCCGGGGAGCTCGGGAATACAGCTGCGCCCCCGTCCAGGAAGCCGGCACCGGCTGTGCCCGGGGTGAAGAAACCAGACCCCGCCCGGCTCCCAAGGAAAGCGCCGCTCGTCCTCCCCCGTCCCGGCAGGTACTTACCCCGGGCAGAGCAGGGCAGTCCGGCCGCTCCCGCGTCTCTCCGCCCGCGCCGCTCCCCGAGGTGCCCGAGGTGCTGGTGCCGGTGTCCGAGGTGCCGGTGTCCGAGGTGCCGGTGTCCGAGGTGCCGATGCCGCCGCAGCGCCCGCGCCGTCGAGGCGAGCGCTCATCCCCTTGGAGCGCCTCGCCGCGCCCCGCCCCTCCGGCCAGCTCGCCCGCCTATTGGTCGCGATGGGCTGATTTGCATGGCGACGCCCCGCCCTCGGGCCTGTGGGAAGATGCGCGGCTCGCGTCGCTGCCCGGCGCGGGGAAAGTCCGTCCCGCGGTGCCGGGAAGCGTGGGCGCGGGGAGCTGGCACGTCTCTTCGCCGTCGTCCCCGTGGACGTCCCCTGCGCTTTCTTGTCCTCGCCTCCTCGCCGGCAAGCGGGGGCTTTCCACTCTGCGATTCTGTAATTCAAATTGCCGCTGCTTAGGAAGATGTGCTCTTCGCTTCGTGCCTCGGAGTTTGGGTCAAATGATGTCCTTTTTGCACTGTGACTTCCTGAGGGGAAAAAACCCAACACCTTCCCCATCATTCTAACTGAAAAAAAAAAAAAACCAAACTAACGAAACTCTGGAGTCACAATGTTTGGTACACAGCAATCATCCATGTTAATTAGCCACATGAGTAGTTATAGAGATTGTTCAGGTCTTTCTGAGATGGGAAGCTTTTGCTTTTCTTGAAAATCTTGGACATGTACTTTTTTCTCCTTTTCGTCACAAAATTTGAATTTAATCTGAATCTAAAAATGTTAACATATAGAAGTTACTTTTTATTGGTGCTGAGAAGTAGCTGAAAGAGCAACTGTGCTTTCCTAAGCAGCCGTCAGTTATAGGACTCCAAAACATCAATCCCACCCTGGGTGACTGAGAATAAATTCTGTCATCATGGAGACAATTGCAGAGATGTAGAAAGCTTCCTCCCTCCTCCTATGCTGTTTTT